CTAGGAATAGCATCGTCCTTCAGTTTCAAATGCTGTGCATATCCGGCCTCAAACTGGGCAATGTTTTGGAAGCTTTCGTCTGTGAAATGCCGCGCACACAGTAACGTTCTTCGAACCTCTGAAGGAACAGTGTTAAAAAGAAATTTCAACCACTGACTTCGTCGTGGTTCTTCCGTCGGTAGGACAAACAGCTCAGATTTCTCCTCACATTTCAGGAAACAGGTCCTTGGCAGTGGCATGACTGGATCGATTGTGAACTGAACCAGAGCTTCCAACAGTAAATGTTAGGCTGGCAGAGGGTGCGGCCAGCGCCGCTGGGTGTGACCATAGCTCTTCCGGATTGGTCCATTTTGTTCCGGGTACCGCATGACATCATGCCGTACCCGGAACTAAATGGAAGACTCAAATGGGCAGTGACGTATCTCCAACGAGGCGTTTTGGGGAGGTATTTTCTGTGTTAGAATTTTACTCGCTACAGGGTGTACTTTGAGGGGTTTGACACCGTTTGCATGCATAAAAACCTTCATAACACACAAGGGGACGGGTAATAACCGGAAAAGCATGACATGGGAGCTTTAACATAAAAGATATCTCTGCACAGAAATAATCTTATGTGGTATATTGTGGGATATGTTTGGTGTGTATGGGACAGATTATATAACAACCCTAATCATTGAAAGCATCCGTGCTCAGAAACGCATACGTTAACTGTTCATCTGTGGAATATTCTCATTATGGGAATCCTTGCACCTGTTCGGTGAGGAAGGGAATTGGCAGATAAAGATAGCATGTTCAAAACACTGTACTTTGTTGAATCTTCAGCAAACTTTATTCTAATGGAACTCTTTTGACTCTTTTTTTTAGGTTAAATAAGTGTTAACATAGTGTTGTGAAGATCTCGAAGACATCCGGCCCAACTTCAGAGGTTTCTCCACAACAATATGCAGGTTGTTTTTACCTTAATGTACCTTGAGCAGGCTAGGTAGATTAAACAGAACACTATAGAATGTAGTTTAAACAAAACATTCATGTTGCTTTAACAGGTACAAATTCAATATACTGACCATATTCAAAGCCTAAAATGAACATTTAAAAGTAATGTTGATTAAACATAGGGTAAGGAAATATTCAAATGAACATAGAAATGTAATGTTTCCTTGAAATAAAATAATTGTGTGTATTTAACATAATTGAATAGTTTTAAAGCTCCCATGTCATGCTTTTCCGGTTATTACCCGTCCCCTTGTGTGTTATGAAGGTTTTGTAAATGTAAACGGTGTGCAGAGTCAAACCCCTCAAAGTACACCCTGTAGCGAGTAAAACTCTAACACAGAAAATACCTCCCCAAAACGCCTCGTTGGAGATACGTCACTGCCCATTTGAGTCTTCCATTTAGTTCCGGGTACGGCATGATGTCATGCGGTACCCGGAACAAAATGGACCAATCCCGAAGAGCTATGGCCACACCCAGCTGCGCTGGCCGCACCCTCTGCCAGCCTAACATTTACTGTTGGAAGCTCTGGTTCAGTTCATAATCGATCCAGTCATGCCAATGCCAAGGACCTGTTTCCTGAAATGTGAGGAGAAATCTGAGCTGTTTGTCCTACCGACGGAAGAACCACGACGAAGTCAGTGGTTGAAATTTCTTTTTAATACTGTTCCTTCAGAGGTTCGAAGAACCGGCATTTCAAAGACGAAAGCTTCCAAAACATTGCCCAGTTTGAGGCCAGATATGCACAGCATTTGAAACTGAAGAACGATGCTATTCCTAGTTTGTTTGGACCGTTTGGAGCAGGGGAAGATTTGGGTACACAACCTGTAAGTTTGCATTGTTATTTGTGTATTTATCAAACAAGACTGTTTAAATGTATAAACTGTGTCGGACTGCAAAGCCATTGACACAGTGCTAACTGTGCTAACTAAGTTGCTAGCGTTTCCATATATCAACTCTAATATCAGCAGATGGCCTTGCATACAGTACATGTATCTCATAGCAGGAGAATGTCTGCATTCACACACGAAATACTCATAGACAGTATACTCCGGGTGATTTGCCGTACGGTCAGTCGCGAAACGTAATTACATTATAGCTGGCGTAGCGTGTATGCTACCGAGGTAACCAACGGAGCTAGACATGGGTTTGCTCGGGAATTTCTTTTTGTTATGCCAGCTACAATGAATGTAGCAGACTACCCGTATAAGATTGCAATTGTAAACACGTTCTTGCTAGGCTAATATGAATCACTAGCTTTTGTTCATAGTGATTTTATTACACTAAACAAGCCCAGCTTACTGGGCTAACGACGTTGCTAGCGTTTAAATATATCAACTACAATGTCAGCAGATGGCCTTACATGTTTGTCATAGCAGGAGAATGTCTGCAGTCACACACGGAATACTCATACAGTATACTCCGGGTGATTTACCGTACATTGTGACAGTACATGTACATACTGCATGTATAGCTAACGAGGCTAGCTATACATGCTAGCGCAAAAACAATGTATTCATGACCGTTACAATGAATGACCGAACGTAGCAGACTACCCGTATAAGATTGCAATTATAAACACGTTATTGCTAGCCTAATATGAACCACTAGCTTTTGTTCATAGTAGTTTTATTACTCTACATTATAGTTGCCGTTCCTCCGAGCTAGCGTTCATATCGTGTTAGCTACCAAGGTAAACAAAGCTAGGTTAGCATATTAGCTGGCAAGCTACTGTGTTCATTAGATAGATCCACACTCCTACCACAACTACTACTAACAAATCTAAAACAACTAAGTTTCTCTAATATTTTGTGATTTGCATTTGATTTCGTCCAGCCAGATCCTGCCGGACAATACATGACGGGACTACCACACTGATGCATCGTCCTAAAAAGCCCCGGCTGCGAAAGGCAAGATGCCGACAACGGGGAGTAATTGATGATATACCGTGTATATATGTATATTTATGTTCATTTTGTACATTTCTAAAAATAAAGTTTAATGGAAATACTTAGTAGGCCTATCCTTTCTTCCCTGAATTATTTGCTCCTATAACATATCATTCATATATAGCAAACCATGATTTGATTTCTCATCAAACAGTAGTAGTTTATTACAGGTAAAAATAACTTAGTCTTTGTTATGACCGGCTTGTAGGCCACAACGGAAAGACAAGGAGACATACACGAGTTTACAAAACCACGGCACATTTATTGTGGTAAATGCAGAGATAGGTGGTCGAGGGGAGAGGATCACCGAGCCGCTTTGGAGAGAGACGGGCCGCCGTGTGACACCGGGCAGCTGGGCTTAATAGCACCTCGGCTCCGGCCAGGTGTCCGTGATCGCGCTGATTAGCCTCTTCAGCTCCACCCCATCGTAAGACAAAGGCCCTGGGGCCGTCACACTCTTCTATAACAACAGTTGTAGGTACAGTTCGGTTAGTTAGCGTATAAAATATACGGCTGTACCGACGCCATTATAAGACTGATGTTCCGCTGAGAGCGAGCCGAAAAAAGCACTGTTAGACATGGGCGGAGCCTCTCTGGTGGTTGACTAATCAGAACAGAGTGGCCGAGCTGACCAATCGGAGCACACTAGGCTCACAGGGAGGGGGGGGGGGCAAGAGCTCCAACGAGTCGTTTAGTGGAGAGAGTGAATACTGCTGAATACACATGCTTGACAGAGATGCTGTATGCGAAACCAATGTGAGTTTGGAAAATTGCACAGTATAAATCTATTTTAGTATACCTCAACAATGTAATTATGATCAGTGGAAATGGCCATGACATGGGCCCTTTAAGTAGACATTCAAATCATGTGAATCCAACAGCCTTTTTCTTCAGTGTGTGCTCCCTCTGTCAGGTGGACACAGCTTATTAACAATACAACTAAGTCAATTAAAAACTATAAGCACTTATATAACATCACATAATACAAGTCCAATTTTATAAACATAGAATACTTTCCGCCAGAATGAAAAACTGAAAATCACAGTAAAACTTACACTGATCACCATAAACCACATTGACACACACCGCTGTAGTGTTGCCATAGCAGCAACACCAGTTATAAAAAGGTGTGTATGCACTGCACTAACAGATGTTTGAAAAATAAAATCTCAAAAACACAATTTAAAAAGGAAATGGTCACCTGACATCCAACTGACAGACAAAGGAAACATCTCCAAAGCTGTTCTTTTTAGAACATAAAGACCGCATATTAATAATATGATTACTATTATCTTTCTATCACTGTTTTATTCCAATGTCCAGTATCTTTTTAAATAGTTGTTAAACCGTTTATTCTATTTCACATGTACAGTACATGATTTAATTATTCCAGAACTGTACTTGCACCATTGCGTCACTTGCATCTTTTTTTGCACCGCTAACCTTCCTTATTATTTATTATTTATATGTCTTTGTAAGTATACTTCAAATATCTTGTAGCCTATATTGCACTGTTGGAGGGCCTGGGACTTTAGATTGTAACCAGGCTGTAGCCATTGTTGTGCATCTGACAGGAAAGCCTTTGCATGTTTAAAAATAAAAGATACACAGCCTATGTAAAATGTAAAGTGTAAGCTAAAGCTCTTGATACAGATATAACATGTATTTTCGTTGTTCAAAGTACTGAAGCTCTACTCTGTGAAAGAACATGTCCGCCTGCTCGTTTCCTGATATCTGAAATGGCGCCTCTGCACTTGTTTTCTGATGGGTGTCGGCTGTTTCTGCTTCAGAAAGCCTGTAGAGGTAACTGGTCATAACTTTCATAACACACTGAGTACACGCTGCTGCAGAACTTTATCATACAGTAAATCTACATTGTTCCCACATAGATAAATGTACTCTCCCGCAAAGATGACTGGTCATAACTTCAGTTGCACACTAACACGCTGTTCCAGTCGTCTACATATTGTATACAGTAAAACTACATTATTATTAACATTATATTGTTCTATCGACTACATTTACCATCCTGGTGTAGTCATTTGACCAATTTTACTTACTTTTTGATGTAATTTTGTCTAAGGTGACTGACCTGCATGCGGTCTTGCTTCGGCTCTGCTGCGAAAACGAAAGTAAAAAAACTGGTCTGCTCGACGACACTAGAAATAGCGGAAGTGTAATTGTGTAATATGTAGTAGTTTGATTTAGTGTCTTCTTTACCATTAGTGGTTGCACAACATCCTTGAAGCTTAAAGCTGTTTAGCACATGTCGATATGTAGGCCTATGTTTATTGGGCTTTATGTTGAATATTTAAAATATAAGATAAAAATTAGAAAATGTATATTACAATAAAATGTTGCGCATATATTAAATATGGAATCTAACTTTTTCCATCTCATTTTTTACAAAGGTGATTTTAAATAACCAAACAAGTGAAAACTCAGTTTTATTTACACATTCTCTGATAAGTCAGAGTCACATTAATAATAATTATTATTATATAATAATTATATTATTAATATAAAAACTAACTAAGGCTATGATTAAAACCTACTGTAGTGGAATGTACAGTGTGGCTGGTAATTTAGGCATCATTATGCAATATATTTAAACCAACTACAAGTATTATGTTTTTCTATATTTAAAATGCTTTCAAAATCATTAGGAGCAAATGTGAAAAGAGAATATCAGAACATCCTTTTATTATGTTAGAGCTCCACCTGCTGGACATAACAATGAACACACCAGCCTGTCCTCCAAAAAACGACCAAATAGGTTGATTGTTCAGCAGCTTATTACGACCTATACTGTAGTCACGTTTTAAAGTTTAGCACCTCTAGTGGTCGTGTAAGAAACAACAATTTGCGGCATATGGGCTGATGCTCCCGTTGACTGCAAACGCTCTGGAGGGTCGTTATTCACACATTACCCTCTCTGGAAAATCCTAAATTGTAGGATAGTTTGGCCATTAAAATCCTTTTTGATTAGATTTCTAGCGCAAAGTGTATATTGTACTTTTAAAATCTACGTCCAGTGGATGTGTAGGATCTATAGTTTGACAGATATTACGAAGATGACTTGAGGTCTCGTCAGGAGAACGTTAATATACTGCGTCTTTCCCAAGCGGCAAACTCTGGGGCAGAGCCAGGAAGCCCATAAGGAAGTGCTACAAACTGCAGTTCATCTATTGGCCGATAGGCGATGACTGCAGAAAGGAGCAATTTCCATAGACCCCATGTTAAAATGCCCAACTTTACAGCAGAAATAAACATGTTTCTACCCCTGGATGCAACAAAAAATATTCTGGATATAGTTAGATTCCACCTTCATGACAATGGATTGGGGAGTGACATTTTTTTATAACGCACCCCTTTTAGTTATATTAGGTCTTAAAGCTTTTGCATAAATTAGGGCGTGGTCACCTTGAGTGACAGGTCTCTGCAGTGACTGCTGCTTCTCCCTTACGCAAAGAAAGTATATTTCCCCATATATTAACTGTCAATATATTGCATTATTTAGTTTTCTGATTTACTGGTTAATTGAAAAGATTTAATAAAATAAATCTTGCTGTTGGCTACACCAACTGATACTGATTAATAATCAACATGAAAAACATATTTATTCATATCTACAAAATATATTGAAGATATATAGAATAATATATTGTGTTAATATATTACAATATATTGACATATAGAATAATATATTGTGTTAATATATTGCAATCAGTGGCGTTTTTATATGTACAAAAGTGGTGGGGCACAAAAAACTTAGATGTCTATATATAAGCTTCTGCAGTGACGTGCAGTGAGGTTCATGGCTGGTGAGGCACTGGCACTGACTCTTCAGGTTTACAAATATTATATTTTGACCTAAACCAAAATATAATATTATTTTCAAAAGCTTTTTTTGTCTGATGCTTCGATTAATTTTAAACAGACAGTTCAACAAAAGGATACCCTAAAAATGTCATTTTATCATTTAAATATTGAATTGTTCTCTCTTAGTAAGATCCCATTTTCAATAAAATGGCGGTCTTACCTTGACTTGAAGATGAAGTCCATTTGCCTATCCTTCTGGACAAACATTTCTATTACTTTTTTGTAAAAGTCCTCCTTATCTTCTTGTAGTTTCAAAAGTCTATCATAAATCTAATCCATAGATTTATGATAAAAAAATTATATAAGTAGGGTAGACATGTGGATGTTATCCGGCTAATCAAAACATGCATTTATCTAACAGGTACGTTTCCCACAGATCTTATTTCGAGCTATTTTCTAAAATCCTCTGGAGAAATCTCATTGCTTTTTTGTCGAGGGAAGCCATGCGCAGCTTACTTCCTGGTTTTAGGACGCGTCACTGCAGCTCTCTCGTCTCCTCTTCACACAGCACACTTTTCGCGGCACACGTACTTACAGCCAATCAGCTCTGAATGATTTGAGACGACGTATAGTGGGGATGGTAGCTCCGTGCCCCTCTGGTCATTATTTTTTTGCCACACACATTTCATTACAAAATACTCTGAGCATGCGCAGTGAAGTTTTTACAGTCAACGTTCACTTCACAGCGAGAGGAAGGGGCATAATCAGGTTTTGTCCCACATGGCTCTAAACAGCTCAATAGGCACACACTGTGACTGTAGACACTAATTAGAAGAACACAGACTAAAACAGCAATGTACAGACGAATCAGATGATTAAACATGATCTTAAAATATATTTTATATATATATATATTTTTTTTTTGCATTTTTGTAATCATTATTTGTAATACTTTCTGCTGACACTAGGTGGGGCTGTGCCCCACCTGCCCCTAATGACCAGTCGCCACTGATTGCAATATATGGGATAATACATCAGTAATTGCCGCTTTCCATATATTGAGTAATATATGTAAATATATATAATATATTGGTTGTGTATATATGTGAACATACATTTACTATATATTAACATTTATATGGGGACATGTATGTACTCTATATTCAGATGTATATGGAGACATGTATGTATTATATATTCACAATCATATGGGGACATGTATGTACTATATATACAGATTTATATGGGGACATGTTTGTACTATATATTCACAATTATATGGGGACATGTATGTACTCTATATTCAGATGTATATGGAGACATGTATGTATTATATATTCACAATTATATGGGGACATGTATGTACTATATATACAGATTTATATGGGGACATGTATGTACTATATATTCAGATTTATATCGGGACATGTATGTACTATATATTCAGATTTATATGGGGACATGTATGCGCTATATATTCACAATTATATGGGGACATGTATGCACTATATATTCAGATTTATAAAAGACCATGTACGTACCATATATTCCGAACATGAGTGCAATATATGTTCACAATGAGGAGAAATGCATGTTCTGATAAAAAAAATCTTTAATTCGTTTTTTTCTATCAATGTGTAACAGTTATCAAAATACTCATTAAAAAAAGGACAAGGAAATAATAAAAGAAAAAGCCTATAAACAACACATTATGTAATGACTCAAGACAATTTCCACGTAATTATGTAATAAAACCCACATTTTGTATTAATCTGCTGCATTCTGTAATCAACAGCTTGAACGCAATATAAAATACATTTCCCTGCATTTTGTAATAAATTATTACATTTTGCAATGGTTATTACAAAATGCGTGAGTTGCCCTTTTAAAAAACTGTAATATTCATTATGTAACCATAACCAAACTGTAAATATATCCCAAAATTGATGTTGATATACATGTTGGCTAATGAATATGGTAACACTTGATCTAGTTTTGGCCAATGAAAGATATTCTACTGAAATATTTTTTAATTATGAGTAAGGATGATTCATGGTTGAATAAATAAATAAACAGTTGTAATGTTATTGTTTGCAACTCATTTTGTAATAACCACAGCAATATGTAATAATATATTTCAAAATGTGGCGCCATGTATTACATATTTGCATTGAACTTGTTTACTACATAATGGGCAAATTATTACAAAAGGAGGTGTTATTACATAATGAAGGGAAAATGTATTACATTTTGTATAGGTATAGTTAATAAATGATGCATTGTTATTTCATACAGGGCCAAAAAGAGCAGTCTGTTATCCTATTTAACAATCTTGTTTTTTGTTTCACCTGGTGACAACTTTAAACATGAGCTGATCACTCATTAAAACAAGGTCCGGAACAGGGCCAAAAAAACAGTCTTATACCCTATTTAATCGTCCATCTTGTTTTTTTCGCTTCACCTGGTGCCTTAACTCACAAATTCTTGTGTTAATGGATGTTCTTATATCTGATGTCTTGGTCCCTGGATGGTGGAACAGAACAATTACAACTAATTACAAGTTCACAAAAGACAGCAGGAATTATAACAATATCCATAATATCTATATTAAAGCATGGGCTGGCTTGGTGAATAATGTGGGAATGCAAATAGTGGAAGAATAGGCTTTGTACATTTTCGTCTGAGTGTGGCGCTACTGGTTGGTATATTTTATGGACCAAGCATCTGCATCTGTAACAGTTCTGTTTAAAACTTTTTAAAATGTAATTGCATTCATCTTTAAAGGTGGGGTAGGTAAGTTTGAGAAACCGGCTCGAGATACACTTTTTGTTATATTCTATGGAATGCTCTTAACATCCCGATAGCAATGAATATCTTAAGTGCTTTGACAAAAAATCCATAAAAGAATTTCATCTGTGGAAGCCGTGGTACTGTAAAAAGCACGACCAATCATTTTAGCCGGCCCGGCTGAAATAACTGGATGGCCTACCTGCCTGTCAGCCTTCCATCTGTGCACAGACTTATCTCGTGCCCTCATTGGTCATGTGCGCATTTGTGTGTGTTGGAGGAGGGGCTCTGTAAGGAAGTGGCAGATTTTTTCCGGCTGTGTATTTTCAAATTCTAGCGATCTCGAGCTGGTTTCTCCAAAATTACCTACCCCACCTTTAAAAGACTACTTTTATTGAATGAGAGTTTTACCTAGCACAATGAGCCTGGGGTGGTGGGAAGGGATAACTGGGCCTCGGCATCGGCAGGAGTTGTAGTCGCCTATGAGTATTAGAATTTAGATGAACAAA